GGGCAGTTCTACTCTGTCACATGGGGTCTTTTGAGTCAAAAATTGACTCGACACTTAACAACAACACTTCTTATCATACCCGAAGAGAGGAAATTCCAGCATTATCAATAAGTTCCTATAGTGTGATCCGTTCTCCATTACATCTTTTTTCAATAAGTTACAGGAATAAACAGTTTTCTCTATCATCGTGGTTGAGTTCCACCCACCCCTACGTCACTGAATCAGTCAGTCTACTTGATAGAGAGTCCACAAAACTGGTTCCCAATGTGGAATTCAGTTCTCAGAATTTTATCTAGTAGATCGTAAGTCCAACAACTGCCATCACCGCCACCACCCCTAAAAGTGAACACCCTGCTGTTGAGCTCAGAGCCTTTAGAGCCCTCCCCTTCCTGGGTAATCTCAAGGCCTCAGTTTACTCATTCTGCTAACTGAGGTAACACCAGAGTGTCCAAAAGCCAAAAGAGGAGAGTATTTCCAGACGGGGAATGGTCAACAGGGTGAAACAGCTGAGGATTCGTGTGAGATGAAAAGGGCTCAACAAGAACAAAAATGAAGTGAATTAAAGAAAAAAAAAACAAAAACCAAAAAGGAGCCATTGGATTTGACTTTTGTTACAACAGTGGAGTGGGAGGAGTCGGACAGTAGTCAGGTGAGGGAAAGAGGAGGTGGAGACAGCCAAGGTAGGACAACTTATTTTAGAACTGTGTGTGAAGGGATGGAGAAAGGTAAGTGGTAATTATCTAGAAGAGCATGTATTCTAAAGGAAAGGCTACTTTTTTTGTGGTAGTATAAATATAGTAAACATTTGCCATTTCAACATTTTTTTACATGTGCAATTCAGTGACATTAATTACATTTACCGTGTTGTGTAACCACCATCAAATCCACTTCCAAATTTTTCTGTCACTCTTAACAAAAACTCAGTGCTCCCTAAGCTATGACTCCTCTTCCCCGCTGCCAACCACCTCTGGTAACCACTAGTAAATGTTGGTCTCTATACATTTGACTATTCTAAATATTTCATATAAGTGGGATC